ATTCATATGAAATATGATGCCAAGCTTTATCACACAAGGTTACATATCAGATACTCAGAGAAGCTCTCAGCATTAGCCCTACGTTGTTCTCACACAGTCATCCTCTTTGTCCTACTTTCAGTTAAAACATTAGACCATTAGATGTACAGCTGAGTGATATGGATACCCAAGATCATGTCTTGATATTTGCAGGTTGAATGGTGACAGAAGATAATTATCTGCCTTTTCTATGAAAGCGATATGTGAGATATCACAGGTACTTAGTTGGCATGGTAAAAAAAGCGAGGCTTCCTCTTCAGAAACATCAGTATGTCCGCTAACAGGAGCGTTAGATATTAAAAATACAAGTTAATCAGCTGGAAATTCATGAACTTATATCTATATCTATATATATGCTGCTACAGTTTTACAAAATCAGAAACAGGAGCACCAACCATAACAGAAAGTAAAGCCTTATTCTGCTGTGGCCTTTTCACTGCTTTACCTGCAGCCGTACAGCTTTATCTAATGAGGAACTGAAACTGTTACACTCCATCAGAGTCCACTGGAAGAAACTGCAATTTTACCTCAGAGAATACACACAATATTTGCCCGCCACAGCCTTGTTGTTAGATGCACAAAATGACCAGAAACTGTGGTTTTGTGTCATGTAAATATCTGTGTTTCTGTTGGTGGAGGCTTTGAAAAGACACAACACATAATTGCACAAGGGGTGCAGTTATGTGTTACGTAAGTTTTTATGTTAGGTGACATTTTTTCATTTAAATGCATTTTATTGCTAATGTCCGATCAGATTGTAAAATAACTTAGTGAGACCTCGCCTGGCTCTATCTGTTGCTTCTAACAGCCTGTATGCTGATTTCTATGTACAGCACTCAGGTTGGATTTTTAGTTGTTCTCTTCAGGGGTCATTGTCAGCAATTAGTCAACATTAGCTTAGAAAAGCTTGGAAATTAAATTGATGCTTTTGTAGCCTGAAGAACTGCTGATGGCTAAATTGCCCCCCTTTGTAAGTTGCCTCAGGCCTCACTCAGGCCTAGAGACTGATCGGCAGCCACATGGCAATTTACAGTTGCTGGGGAGAAGCGTGCATTCCCTGAACGTTTGAGCAAAGAGGATGATGTAGCAAAACTCCCATTGTGACTGCGTGGAAGACTTGTCTGTAAACATTTGCAGTTTGCTCTCAGGTCTGCAGTGAAAGTTGAAAAAGTTCAAGGTAACCTGGAAATATGGATTATTCACCTTCGAAGTAAAAGTTGCACCTTTTGAAATGTGTTGGTTTCAGTGGTCAGGAACAATCTTTTTTTTTTCAGGTTGTAGTAGTTTAGTCAAGAGCAGATTGCTGCGGTTGCCTGGAAGATACAATCCTGTCTGTAAAGAGTTGACAAATTCTTACTCAGTGAGAAACCGGAAACTGGGAATGTTCTCCTTCAAAGTAAAAGTTGTGCCTTCTTGCTGCCGAAGAGCGTCTGTTTGTGCTGCATATTAAGTGCCTTGAGTGCCAAAATTAATTAAATAAATAGATCACTGAATAATAAATTAAATATCCCATTAATTAATTAAAACGGGAAATAATTCATTAAATATATAGATAATCATAACATGTCATTTCATTTCATTTAAAACACTTTTACAATTATTTATTTCCCGTTATAATTAATTAACACATTTAATTTATTATTTGATTGTGTATTTAGTTAATTCATTTTGGCACTCAAGGCCCTCCACTGTCACACTTTTCACGGTTTCATTACCACTCGGCAAGTAGTTAGCAACTTCCAGCAACCTTCAGAAGCCACTTGCCATCTCACCACAGAATACACACTGTTCCCTAGCAACTGGTGGTTACCGGGGAGTCACTGCCATCTTCTAGGGCTGTTTCACAACAACTGGAATCAACTTCCAGCAACCACTTACAACTGATCTTTGATCACACATTTTCTTCTTGTGACCGATGGTTGCTGAGTAGTCTCGAGACCTGTGACTGAAACTCAGGCTCACATGATTCAGCTAAATATTTTTTCGCGCTCTCAAAAGAAAGCAGTAAAGACTAATACCTCTGTTCACGCCTTTCAGTTTCAAAATTCACACGGCGTCTCTTAAGTAAATACAGACAGCAACTTTTCAATGCTGAAAGAACTTTCTGCACTGATGCAGACAGTAGTAAAGTGATCCGAAACATCGGTTTAAACCTTCAGCTTGTGTTTATTGGCTCTCTTGCATGTTATGCTTTCGTAGTGACGACTGATTGAGCAGCCACCGACACCTATGGCGGTGAAGGTGATCGTCACTTCCAGCACTTCATTTGTCAACAGCTGGGGTTGCCTTTGTTAATTTGCACATTTTAACCCAAACCGCAGTCCTTCCCCAACCATAACCAAGCAACCTTTGGTCCCAAAATTTAAGCAGTAACCAGAAGTGAAAAATGAAACTAGGTGCAAATAAAAAAAAAGATCCAAATGGGAAGTGAAACAGGGTCCCTGGGCTGTTCACCCTTAAACAAGTAACCACTGTCCATTGTACCTCCAGTATGGCCATAATTCACGAGCACTGGTAAATCACGTGATGGCAGTGATGGGGGCAGTTGCATCATTAAAAGGAGTTTGTTATAGTAGATACACTGCCCAGCTTTAGACTGAAGCTGCTAATGTGTGTGTATGGATGTGCAGCCAAAGAGGAGATTTCATCTGTGCAGTCTTGGATTTGTGCAGATCTGATTTAAAATCTTCCCCCTATCATAATAGATAAGTCTGATGAAGCCCTGTATTAGGCAAACATCTTTATACAGAGTTACACCTGCTTTTCATGACCTGATGCTGTAGTTTATTCAGAGTGTGTGAAGTCTGCACCTTTTATTTTCATGTTTTCTGTAAATAAAATTGACCTTTTGAAATGGAAGAAACCTCATTTAGGAAGGAAGCTCTCCATTTCCTGTCACATTGAAAGTATATAAACCTCCTCAGCCTCGAAACTCTCACACTCGCACTAAAGTGGATCATCTTTGATCGCTGTCGCTGTCCCAAAGCAAGCGAGCTTACTGAACAGGGCTGAGCACACACACTTGGTAAACAAGTCTGGCAACAGGTTACATCACTCTTCGGCTCACCTGGTTCCCATGGCAAGAGTGGATGGAGCAGATTAGACTCTGGAGAGCAGAGGTGGTCGGGGCTTTGTTATTTTTCCACTCAGCCAACTGTCAGCAGCTCTGAAGGAAAACAACCGCGCTGAACTGATCAGTGTGTGATACCTGACCCATAATCCAGCACGCAAACTCAATTTCAGCTCATGGATTTCTTCCATTTGATAGAATAGCTGCCCCTTTGAATCACCTCTTCTCTATTCAAATGATGTAAAACAGAGGAATTGCAGTATTTCTGATGCTGTATAAGAAGCTTTTCAACAAGTACTTCTGAACAGTTCTGGAAGCTCGTGATGGGAAAATGCCATACAAACACATTTATTTTAGGATGTTTTCCCTTACGTCCTTGGAATTTCTTTTGCTTAGTACAAACAATTCGAGTGAACTGAGAATCTGGAAAACATGGAACAGAGTGTTTTGGTCACCTTATCAACAGCCTGAGACAAGGTGGACCTGAGACTATTCTGAATGCTCTAGAAAATGTGTTTTCTTTCTTAATGTGGATTTTGTTGATCTATGAGTTGATTAGTTGAGTGCTTGTTTAGTCGATTTTATTTGATGTGAGTAAAAGAATTCACAAATCCATTGTGAGGTTTGATTTTTAGTGGATTTCAGCTCGCTGTGAGGTCTTCACCGTGTCTTCACTTCACTTGTGTTGGCCCAGGTTCATATTGCTATGATGTCATAGTTTAGTTATGTGGAAAAAATCTGCCAATGTCCACTTAGGGAAAAAAAATCCCCCAAAAGGAGGGTGGTTAGGGTTGGGGTTGGAGTTGGGGGTTAGGATGTGGATCGTGGTTAGGGTTACGGGGCTGTAGTTAGGGTTATGGTTATGGGGTTTGGGTTTGGTGTGATGGTGCTTTCATTTTGCAGAACTGTGACGTCACAACAACAATGACTGGTCAGTTGCAATGTTGAACCTGGACCAACATTATTTATGATGATCCAGGAACAACACTAACACGAGGATATCGGTGGGATCCACTTTTTGCCTTCAGAACAGTCTTAGTTCTTCATGTCACAGATTCAAAAAGGTGATGGAAACATTCCTCACAGATTTATGTCCATATTGACATGACAGCATCACACTGTTACACATGATGTGAATGTGCTTTTCCACAATGTCCCAAAGGTGCTCTATTGGACTGAGATCTGGTAACTGTGGAGGCCGTTTGAGTGCAGTGAACTTTTGAGTTCTGTGACATGGTGCGTTATCCTGCTGCTATCCTGCTTGAACTATTAATACAAGGCCGGATGTATCCATGATTATTTAAGTTGTTTATGCCAAAGTCTGACCCTGCAATCCGAAACTGAAACTTATCACCAGGCAGCATAATGCAGCTTTCTGTTGTTCGGTTTTGTAAGCCTGTCTGAATTCTAGCCTCAGTTTCCTGTTCTTGGCTGACACACCCTCTGTGCTCTTCAGTTTCAAAGTTCAGTGTGTTTTGTGCGTTCAGAGATGCTCTTCTGCATACTTTTGTTGTAACGAGTGGTTATTTGAGTGGCCGTTGCCTTCCTGCCTTCTCAGTCATGCTTCATTTGGTCCCTAATGTAGACATAGAGGGAGCCATGGTTTACTCAAGGATGTCTGATGCTTGTTCGGCAGTGTCTTTTCTGTCTGCATGTCATCTCAGTTTATCCCAGCTGCTCTTATACTGACGAACACACACGTCAGTATACAGAACACATGCAGCTCCCAACTTTGTTTGTTGGGCTTCTCATGACCTCTCTCATTCTCAAACCAACGTTTTGACTCTGAAGAGAAACCGACCTTTTCCAAGAGTCACTTGAGATGTGGAGTTTCTCGGTCGTCAACCTGTCCTTTTAAAATAACCCCCTTTGTCTCTTTTTGTATGCACAGGCCCAAACCTCCACCTCCCGAGGGCGCCAAGTCCAACCCATCCAAACGCCATCGGGACAGGCTCAACGGCGAGCTGGACAAGCTCACCAGCCTGCTGCCCTTCACAGAGGAGGTGCGGTCCCGGCTGGACAAGCTGTCTGTCCTCCGCCTCAGCGTTGGGTACCTGAAGGTCAAGGGCTACTTCAACGGTAAGTCTTTGATCAACTCCCACGTCTGACAAATGCAATCCTTCAAATCAGAGTTTGTAGGATTTGTTTCAGATATGACAGGATATATATTATATATATAAGTCTTTGCGCAATGTTTGGCACCTAGTGAGTGAAAGGATGCTGTGTCACTGCTTCAGACACGTAACAATATATGAGTACGTGATGGTTTTAAAAAAAAAACAACTTTTTTTCCCCAGATGCGCTATTTTGAAATGCCACGAGATGCTTCAGGCTTTTATGTTAATGCGATGGCATCAGATTTGTGCTGTGTTGAAATGTTTAATGGTGTATGCCTTTACCATGGAGTCAGCTGTTCAATGGGACTTAATCCAGAAACTAATCGAGCTGCAAGATGAAGCAAGTCAGCATCATTTTGAATCCGACATTTATGTTTAATAGCAGCAATGTTGGGAAAGCTGTGCTTATCCGAGCTTGATGTAAAGTCAGTGCAATACTGAGCTGGCTAATTAGATGTAATTATTAGATGTGGTCATATGTAACTCTGGAGATTACACTTGTTTTGTTGGGTTGGGATGTTTCAGTGGGTGTACAAATATAGTGGCTGTAAATCTGCAAATAAGTCAGCATTTATTGATGGATGTGTCACAGCGATTTTGTGCCAGATCAGTGTTCAGACACGTTGTGATGAAGAGCCAGAAAAGGCCAGGACAGGACACAAAAGGAAGAATTTTTGGGGGCCCTGAAACAGTGGAAATAATTAACATCCATCCATCCATATATACAAGAGAGGAAGACATCATTGTGAAGCACTAAGATATCGTCCATGGTACCGGTTTGGTACAATAAATGGCTAAATCTAATAACAAAGTAGGGCCTGATTACAGCAACAAGTCATAACCACAGTTATTTAATTGACTGTAGAAAATCTTGAGTCACTGAGCCCAAAAACTCCCTTTTTAACAGTAGACCATGAACTTGAAGTTGGACCGAAGTCCGATGATGTTTGCATGTCTTCTTCTATCGCTTTCATTCAGTCATTTTCACCACTCTTGATACGTTTTTCCAAACAGTTAATGAATAAAAACATCTCACCACCATTTCAAGACCTGAACAACAAATGGTTGTACTCTTCCATTGAAACCTCACTGACTCTGAAAAAGTGCTGCAAGAACCTGTGGGCGTGATTTAGGGTAAAGAGTGTTCAGACACAAAAATGAAATGGGAAGGGTTCATTTGACGCTCGGTACGATGTAACTGCTGGAACTGAGAAAATCAAGATGATAAATGTGAAACTATAGGCATCAGGAAAAAAAAGAAAAAATACACAAACTTTGCAGCTACTACTGCATATTACAGCAAAATTACACTACGTAGATTGACAGCACATGCTCGTGCGTAAGAAGCAGTGCAATGCTGGATTGTGGGCTTGTGACTTTTGCTCTTCGACACCTGTTTGAATGAAAGTTTGACGTGGTTTGATTGAAAACAGTCACTCGGTGCTGCACAGCGTCATGGAAAGTGAGAAATCCGTTGTCTTATGAGGAGCTGTGAGATTCAGATGAGAAATGACAAAACGTTGAGGGGTGAGGTGCGCGTAGCAACAATAACAGCGTGTACACAAACACGAGGAGTAAGGATAATGTGGGTGGGGAAATTCGCTCCTGATGTGAGAACTGCATCAAAGCAACCGAGAAAGACTGAAACTAAATAAATAATATGCAGATAGGGATGGGCTTTTCAAGCAGGAACAATTTCAGGATTCACTGGGAACCATTCAGCTATTCTTCGACGATCGCTCCCCCACCTGAACTGCCCTCACCCGACTTAGATGTGGCAGACTTACGACATGTTCGGATTACCTGGAGTGGCTTGCACACAAGACTTGTTGACAGCTGTAGTCTTTGGCCATCTGTGTTTCTCTTATTTGTGCAGGCCTACTTAATCTCACTGCACCACACATATTCTTGACTGGCAAAAAGCCTGGATACGCACAGCCACCACCTCCTGGCTAAAGTTACATCTTTACCGAGTGCTGGTAACAAATATATGTGAGTAACTAATAAATTGGTAAAGCAGTGTCAGGTTAATGTCCACACACCTTTGCGTGGGGTTAGACCACACTGGGCTCTGACACAGCCTGCATATAGCAGCTTACTTCGGTTTACTGATAGATGCTGGACACTTAGCTAGTGCTGTGCATTGATGAAATATGAATAATTTATTTAAGCAGTCTAATATTTTTGCTGCTGTAGAGTCCCACAAAACTCACAATGAGGCCTCAGTGTTTCTCTGATATAAAATCTGATATTTTATGGATCTTATGCTGTATTTACCCTCGTGCGATGAATTAGAGCAGTTTGAGGGTTACAGCGAGATAGATTTATTTGTTCTCTGCAGTGTTCTGTGATTCTGCAGTATACCTGCATTTTGTTTCCTACTATATATGAAAGGTTTTTTTTTTACCTCCTCTGTTGGTTTCCTGTGTGGAAACTCCACTAAAACACACTCCACTAGTCAGACACACTTCGGGTTTATGAAAACTGTTTATTCTGAACCTTTTTAGACCAGCTTTATTTCCATTTCAGGCCCCAAATAAGGCAGCAGCATGCAGACAAACAGCGGTTTGAAACATCCTGCTGGGTGTGCATTCAGCTGAGATACACCAGGCTCACCTCAGTCTCACTTTTGTGGCTGATACTGGAAGAAGATAAGTTTAAGAATAGTTAAAGGGCAACTGTCTAGACAGTGATCCAAATCGTTGTTTTAAACAACAGGACAAATACGACAGTGTTTGTTCAGTATGCGCACAGCAAGCCACGAGAAAGGAAAGACGTCTCGGGCTAGCATGAAAGTCTGCTAAAGCTATAAGTAGTGTTGCAGTGGAGTCTTCCTTTGCTTGAGCTCCACGTCTTCACCAGTACAGCATGGTACTTCTTGAATAATCCAGGTAAAAAGACCATGAATACATACCCCAGCATTGCCTCCAGTTTGTGTGCATGGTTTCTGACAAAGAAACTGAACAAGCTGGTGCTCAGTCATTGTGTTTGCAAAGGGAAGACAATCAGGAGGATGGATTTAAAGGGGGAGGAGTGAAGATAGATGGTTTCAGGCAAAGGGTGAACTGAGGGGATGCACCATAGGGTAAAGAATGATTATTCAATTCAATTCAGTTGAGTTTTATTTATATAGTGCAAAATCACAACAACATTATACTAAGCTGATTTATTTTGAAAGGTAAAGACCCTGCAATAATACAGAGAAAACCCCACCAATCAAACAACCCCATATGAGTGAGCACTTGGTGGCAGTGGGAAGGAAAAACTCCCTTTTAACAGGAAGAAACCTCCAGCAGCACTAGTTTAGCGAGCGGCAACCTGCTGAGGGTGATTATTATGAACTGTGAATTATGCAAAGCTACTGTAGTAGAATAAAAATATGACGGTGGAAATCAGCTGCAGTTATTTAGTGTATAAAATATACTGCCTACAGAGTTAGTCTTAGGCCCAAAGAAAGTCACTTTAAGTTTTAAGAAAAGCCCACCATTTGTGTACACTTGTTATTTTCTCTGCGCACGGTACAGAACATACATGATCATATCAGCATTTCAGGCCACAGCACAGAACAGGTGCATGTCTCATCGGCCTGACAGCATTTATGCAGAAATTCTCGCCTCTTCTCACTCCTGTTGCCGAGGAGGACTGATCCAAATACACGGCAAGTCAGAAGGGCCACATTTCACAGTCATGCACTGATATAGCCTCTCAGCTGGTGGCTACCACACCCCCGCTTATCATTTACTGTAAATAGGAAGCTTGTCTTTCAGGCAGCCTGGATCTAATCATTGCTATTTTCACAAGAGGCAGCAGAACAAAGCGAGGAAGCTCGCTGGAAACTCAAATAACCTCGGCGATCGTCTGCGCCATGTTGACAGAAATAGGGGTAGAATTCACTTTTAGATAAATAATCTTCTTGAGCCCCAGAGGAGAGGATTGTTATTTTACAAGAGGTCAGAGACCATCGGTGCATCGGTCAATGTTATAAAACAAACCTGTCCACTGCTATCCTTAAAGCTAGGTTGGAAAAAAAAAAAATTTTCTAGCTCCATTTTTTTAATATTTTGATTTGTAGGTCAAGAAGTTATTTAGCTTATAATTGGCCCTGTGCAGCCCCTCAATGCATCATCTGTTTGAAATACCATATTTTCCGCACTATAAGGCGCACTTAAATTGCTTTAATTTTCTCAAAAATCGACAGTGTGCCTTATAATCTGGTGCACCTTATGTATGAATTCTGGTTGTGCTTACTGACCTTGAACCAATTTTATGTGGTACATGGCGCTCAAAAATCTGTCAAAAATGTTTTAGTACGACTTTGGTAAGCTACGAAGCCGCACCGCTTGATGGATTGTCAGAGCATTATGTCTATTGTAGTCAGGAGCCTTGTGGAGTAATCTGGCTCCAGAACTCTGTCTGCTTCAGGTCTCAAAGTCAAACGGACATTGCAGCATCACTGAGAGTTAAAAACTGTCTAAATTCTTTCATCTTTAATAAAATGATCAGCGTTGCTGCTTTACCAGGTGTAACAATTAAGTTTAACATCCAGGCATCCATGAAAACAGAATTTATTAAATTTAATGGAGTTAGAAGTTGGCAGGAAGTTAGCTCGCTAGTTTACGCCTAAACATGATATAGCATGTTCTGACTGAGAGATTTATGAAAAATTAAAACGTACAGCTCTGCCATCACTTCCAACATAAATGAAGACAGAAAACTAAAAAGCAGTGACGTTTGTAGGGTTACTGAAGTTGGGCTAGTTGGTATATAATGATGTGGTACGTGATTGATAGCGACACAGCTATGTTAGCATAACAAATAGTGAAGCTGGAGGATGAACCCTAACCTTTTTCCACTCGATAAAGGTTAACATGAGGGTTCCTGATGGTTAGAGACAAATGCAATCGCATGGCAGGATGCTGTAAACGGAACAAACTACAGTTAGGAGAATAACTGAGATAATCC